GCTCAGCCTCCTATTCCCTGACTGTGGTTAACAGCAACAGCGGAATCAGGCCAAATATGGTTAGAACCGACCTGAACGCCAATGTGGAAAGCGACCCTCCCTAAATCAGGAGTGACTCCAGTGCCAGGCAGGCGTCCTGTGAGAGAGATCTGGGAGCAGGACTTTCCCCTGCCTCAGCATTTCTTGAGAGGGATGTTTAGGGCTTGTGAAGTCCAGGCCCAAAGGAGCATTTTTTAATGAGAACAGGAACCTGAAACAACTTATGAAATATGAAAACAACGAGGCAGTGAAATGAGGGGAAATGATTCTTTGCAGGAAAAAAGTGGGGCTGACAGCAGCAGTGGGCTCAGAAGGGCCTTTCTCCAGCATCCCTGTCTAATAACCCATCCCCAGGATGCTGGGCTCCTCACTGCAAGGCAGCCAAGGGGCGAATCACAGGGCAAAGCCAGAAGACTGTGTCTCCCCTGCACATTAAAGGGAGAAGACTAGAGCTGCATTCGAGCCAGGATCTATGTGTAGACAGAAGTAAGTGTGCTCTGTGTGGTCTGGATTTGGTCTCCCCAAGGTGAACGGCAGCTGCTTGGAGACACAAAATTCTCCTCTCCCTGAAAGTCTCAGCCTGCCGCCCCCATGGGCTGTGAGTTCTATGGGCCCGTGCTACCAGGCACCAGGAATATTCCTGGCCCGTGGGCCTGGCTCCAGCAAAGTTTCCAGCCTGTCCCCCCACGTGCTCGCCCCACACATCCCCCGGCCCCGCCTGCTGCCCTCAGGCGATTTAAAGGAGCCCAGGGGCTCCTGCCGCCACCCTGTAGTGCAGCTGGGCTTAGCAGCTTCCTGCGCGCTCGTTCCACGTGGCTGCCGGCACGTCCCTGTGTCGCGTGGGAGCGGGGCTGTGCCATTACGCGCTACCCCAGCCCCAAATGCTCCTGCGGCCAATGGGAAGCTGTGGGGGGCGGTGCCTGGGGACAGCAGCACACGGAGACCCCCGGCCTGCCCTGCCTAGGAGCTGCTGCCAGAGAGGGTGCCCCAGGTAAGCTCCGAACCCCTCGTCCACTTCCAGAACTGCAGCCACACCCCCTCCCCCCACACACCCTCT